TTGAATACACACCCGGTGTGAAGCACTGTAATAAATATATATGTATATAAAAATATTATATTGAAAGATGGATGAAATAATTATGTATATCGCACAGTGCAGGTATAAAATAATAATTGTAACAATTAACAAACAACAATTAAATTAAAATATATCTATATAGTTTGTAAATGTTTATGATGTATTAAATAAAGGTTATGTATATGAAATGCATATAATGTAATTAGGATGTTCAACCTGAGGTTGATATGATAACAATTGAAATAAAAAGCAGTAGTTGGTGGGTGATTAGCTAGCATAAAGACTGGCAGCATTGGGAAACAGTTAGCTCCGTCCAAAGTCCAAAAACCAAAAGGTTTATTATTATTATAGTATTAATCCATTTTACCTCATTTTTTAAAATGCGTATATGAAGACATTTCCTGAATCAGATACGAGGTTTGATTTTTTGAGAGGCTCATGTGACTTTTATGCCACTCATCTGAAGTGTCTTGGTGCTGGAGTCTTGAGGAGAGGCGCTGACAGATGTAGTAAAAAGTAGTCCTTGACATCCCACATACATATTTGGTGGGTTTATGAAAGATTACAAACTCTCTCTAACTGGGTATAAACAGTCTCAGTTTAATACCGATGCCTCTATATGAACTACATAAACAAACAAAACTATCAGTGAGATGATTGGTTGTTTCTATATAGATTCTTAATTACTGACGACTCGAATTCCTCTTGAATTCATGATATTCCAGGATATTTGTAAGAGGTTTAAAAGAGACTTATTATCTATAATTTGTAGAGAATAGTGTACAAACTGGTGAAATGATGAGTTTGGAGGTCAGTAATAACTTGATTTTGCTATTACTGACCCAAACTGTGTAAATAACTGTATTGCCTGGGTACAAGTGAATCTCCACTGGCTGGATGTTCCTTCTTCTATTGTTCATAAAAAATGTTGATGAACTGCCATGCACGTCATTTTTCTCTAGTTCACACTGAAAGATGAATCCCGAAACCAGCAACATGATGATTGCAGCAGCCCTTGGCCGGCCTTTCAGCCTCGGGATGTTGTACGACTGTCGCAATGATTCACTCATCCCTGGTAAGGACGATGAAGTTATATGAAGTTATTAACTGCAACTGCACAAGAACCAAGACTTTCTTAATGTAAAGCGATGTCTGTTTTTCTCTGTTCTTTTCATGATACGCTAATTATGGCTGGGCGATATCAGCAACAAATTCAATCTCAATAACTTAATTCATGATTTTAATCAATTCTTTTTCTCTGCAAATGCAAAGTCTTATGATTAACATCATATTTAGGGGTTCAAGGCAGAAAAGCTAAAATTGCTGTGACCTGCAATGAGCTAGAAACATGAAACCTGGCCCAATAACTGGACGTGCTTCCCAAGAAACATATGCCCAGTCAGCCAGATGGTGACGCTGTAATTAAGGTCCTAAAATCCAGTTTTGGAAAGGCCACGCCCATCGCACCGTGATTCCGATTAAAGCTGGACACACAAGTCCAGCTCTACAAAAAAGCCTCTTTGACCACTGAAGTCTGCCTAACTAGAATTACCTAACTAGACCATTTTCAATTGTTTGTAAAACACATTTTTGGCATCAATGAGCTTCAGAGGAGGCTTTGCTCAGCACACAAATAGACATAAGTCAATATCCGTTGTCAGTCATCACAAAACTCACAGGATAAGTCCACATAAGTACCTGAAATATACCCTGAAAGTTTCATTGAAATCCACCACTAGAAGGTGCCACAAATGCAAAACATTAGGCCTGGTATAAAACAAATCAATATATATATCAGATATTGGTTTTCCAATCATTACAAAGCTCACAAGATATGTTTCATGTAGTTCAACAATTAACAGGTGAAACATAAAAATCTGCATACTTTCTGTGTGCTGTTTGTGTTTCACATCAGCCTGATATCTGCAGACAGCTGTTAGCTGGCATGCTACAGCTACATGACAAAGACAGAATGAATATATTCTGAATGTGTACATGTACACATACATAGTTAAGAGTTTAATCCTAATTTTTAACAGAAGTTTGGTTTCTAGTTAAGATACTTACATTTTGTTGTTTTATTTGTTATTTACCTCTTTAAGAATTGGTTTGGCTGCTGTTCTGCAACGACTAATAAAGTGCTTTCTCTATCTATCTATCTATCTATCTATCAATCTAGGAGCCGAGAACATCACCTCCTACTCTGTTGAGTACTGTGTCAGTGGAGAGGATGGATGGCAACAACAGACAGCATCAAAAGCTGAAGAAGTCACAGTGAGAGATCTGAGTCCTAACACAGAGTATATGTTCAGATGCAGAGCAGTGACCTCAGTAGGTGTTGGACCAGCCAGTGTAGTCCGAATAAAGACTCGTACAGACTGTTAAGGAGGTAAGTGTGCTGTTTTCTGTTTTCAGCAGATCTGTGAATTCTGTGAATATTTATCAGAGATGAGTTTTGTTGTGTCTTTGGCTATTTTACTGCATAAGTTTTTCTTATGGAGGACGAGGCTGTTTATCAGAGTTAATGCTCTATCAATATAGCTTGTGTTCAGATCAAGTCAAAGTCCAAAATCTTAACTTTAAAAATAACAATTTAATTTGTTTTTCTTCACAGAAATGAACTAAATGCTGAGATATAGGCCTAGTGTGTATATTTTTACATTTACTCATGCTTTAAAATTAAGAAGGCCTCACAATCCCCTGTGAAGCTTTGGCGACCCCCAGTGGAGGTCTTGACCACCAGATTGGGAACCACTGGTTTAGCGTAATATCTCAAATAATTTTTAAACATCAGAAGGATGATTAATGATTAATTGATATTGACATTTTACAGAAAATAACAGCTGACACATTCTCACCACTCATTCTTCTTTTATAAATATCAGTTTGTGTTACAAAAAGGCATACGCATAGCTTATATATCTGTCTTGAAGATTTGCCTCCTACACATTCAAGTGTTTGTTCCCTCAATCTAAATACCAATTGTGAATGATCTTACTAAATGCTGAACAAAACCTAGAATTTTGTTTGTTCATTTGTTGAAAAATCAGCATACAAAAAAGCAGCGCAGAAACCAGAATTAAAGAGTTTTTCAAGGTTCGTTTTTTTCTCCATTGTAGCAGAAATTAGCCAAAAGTACAACGCTATATTAATTGTGTGTTTATTTTGCAATTATTTCAGGGGGTATTTTCCACCACCGGATGGTTCATTCTCCCTGGTGACCCATCAGTTAGTGCCGGGGCAGACGAGGATGTTCCTGTAACTGGACAGCGGGTGAATGAAGGAGCACGACCATGCTAATAGCAGACCTGATATAATAATATATAATAGAACCTGTTCAATACAACATCTAAACCTGCAGGAAAACCCAATGTTTGATATCAGTGCCAGCAGCTCAACTTCCCTGGATTTTATTTCAGGAGAAAAGTGTTGCAGTGTAAAATAATATAATCTAATGTCTCATATTGGTGTATTTTATTTTGAAATAATTTTAAGACATTAAGTCATGACTTTGTTACCCTTTGGGGAAAAATGTCGAACGGGGCGCTGCTGAGAAGTAGCAATGTCCCATTTCAAGGATAACAAATTCGAAGATTAGTGCACAGACACACATACTCGAAGTTCTGCTGTCTGTTCATTTCTTTTTACTGTTGTGAAGTTAAAATGTTGCTGTTTTTCATCATGTATTAAAATCACATAATAATACAATGTAAACTTCTAAATCATTATTATATGTGATGTACTTGTGAAGTTTGGGTCCCCCCCCCGAGAATAAAAACTGCAAAGAAAATAGTCTCTTCATTATAATTAGTAATACACTATTATATAATAGTTATATATAATATTTGTAAAAATGTAATGTGCATTGATTTTATATCATACCTTTTAGAATGTGTGATGACCTGAGTTTGGCATTTTAAGGGAAAGAATTTTGCTATAAACATGTTGAATTTAATGACAACCTAAAAACTAACCTGAAACTAAACACACAAACACTGGTTCAATCACTTAATTTCATCAAGATTTATATGAAAAAAAAAAACACAATATAAATGTAATAAAACACCACCAAAACAATAAAAACGCTATAACACTATAAATAACAGCACCATCAACAAACTTCTATGGTTGACTTCTGGGACACATAACATAAAACTGTGTATGTCGTTCGGGTCAAATGTCACAGAAAATAAATACTTTGAGAAAAGAAACATTTTTTTATGTTTCAGAAACTTTTTGTTTTCTGCAACGAAGAAAATATTATATTAATTAATATTATCTATCTATCTAAAACGTTTATTTATATTACATATGTTCTTCAATTTTTATATTTTTATGTTTGTGGTCAGGTTATGGGACAAAATTAACACTTTTCTCAGTGATGATATAATATTTTTGATCTAATATCAGAGGTGAATCATAATTACCTTTTAACACAAGAGAATTCATGTTAACTTAAGTTTCCCAAGACAGAATCAACATGCAATTGAACAGGGCTGCAAAATTATTCGGAATATTATCAAAATCGAGTGTAAAACTGCATCATGACAAAGTACTTCAGTGCTGCAGATATGCTCTCGCCTACAAATTTTGTTCTCCAAATGTGAAGAAAATATGTTTGTTTGGTCCAACAAATGTCACATTATCAGGATTTTAATCGTTTTGTCAGTGAAAATTAAAATTTTCACTAATTGTGAATCGTAACATCTGTCAAAATAATGGCAGCCTTACATTTTACAATGATTCTGAAGCCATTCAGGTAGAGAATTGAATGTGGTAACAGTAGATACAGGACTCTAAGATATGGAGTCAGGAGTGCAGTGCCTGAAATGGGCCGATACTCACAGGCACTTCTAGTTTTTGTCCACAGTGGTATTTTTTCCAAGGGCTACAATAATAATTGTATTTTAAAAATGATTACTTTCATGCCCCAAAACCCCCTAGAAAGTTCAGCTGTGGACCTTCATATTTCCAAAACCCCGCATACACTGCTAGCTAGCTTAACGCAAAGAAAACAGCACTGAATTTCTTTTTAAAAAGGCTAAAAAACACCAAAATATTTAGGGTTAGGGTTGTGTTGAATTGGGCTGCAGGCACCTTTTTTGGTGTACTTCAGGCACTGGGAGTGTGCACTAGAATAAATAGACTTAACAAACATAACTATCATTTTAAAAACTGATATTGATTAATTAAATGTACATTTAAAGGATGTGTTAATAACTCAAAGTACATCCATCCCGGCAGACAAGAGTCATTATTCCTTCGGCTCCCGTAGAGGCTTTGTCACTTGAATGTGAACAAAAGTTTTTGGACAGTCTCCAAGGTGCCCGATACAGGTCAGTTCATTGTCATTAAACCAGGGAGCAGCAGAGGCTCGCAGTCATGAAACATTTGCGCTGGCCTGGTTTACAAAGCTCAGCTGTGCTTAGAAATAGTTTCCTTGTTGTTTTCCTTTCCTTTTTTTCCCACGACGTATAAAAGTTCCGTACTTTCATCTTCCACAGGTGCAGTGACTCTTCTAGGTTTGAGAGTCGACTCTCTGCACCACATGGATCTGCTCACAAAGCTCCACCTTCTCAGGGCTCATCGGGATTTGAATGTCCCAATCCTGTTCCTGCAACAGTAGACAGATTTAATGTATTTACATTAAATATTTAAAGTTTCATTACACATTAAATCTGTGCTGAAACGCACACTGTTTAAAATCACAGTGAGTAGAGTTAAAGTTTCAATGTGTAGGATTCAGTGGTGTGATTTAGTGTAGTTGCTGCTGTAGCAACTAGGACTGTCCTCTTCGACTAAACTAAACTTTAGTCGACTAAACAGTGTTAACTGTATAAGTCTTAGTCGACCCCCTTTTCATTAGTCGGATAATCACAGAGAAGTTCATGTTTGGAAGCTGTCAGCGGGACCAAAGTATCTCTTACTGGTGCAATGCTGCTTGTGCTATCTGTGATTTTATGATTATTCCATCCATTATTTTAAGATGTATTTCTATATTTATAAGGACAGGGACTGACCAGTGAGTGGACCAGTGGCTCTTTTTGGAAATACGTTCGACAAGCATCTGGACGACAGTGAACGATGAACCAGAACACAGCAAACAGAAGACCTGCCATGATGATAACAGTCACAGTCACAGCGGTCTGGCTCTTCCACGGAGCGTCTGGACCTGCAATTAAATCAGGAAAAAAGTGTTCCTTATAGCTTCTATATTTAAGTTTCATTACATCGTTAATAGTGACACCAGTGGCTATTCAGTGAACTGCAGTCAGCGTCCTGTTTCGAGCACTAAGTGATTAATACATAGAACAAACATGTAATATCTGTTTTAGAATCTTACATTTAAAGCCTTACTTTAAATCCTTCAATTCATTATTTATACAAACTGGAGCATTTGGTTTTCACACCAATTAAAAGATAAGAGGTTACATCTTGTAGTTTTGTTCTCTGATAACCTTTATTTGGAAATAAACTCAATTCAGTTGTGGATCATATTTTCACTTTACACTGGTGAAATAAACTAATGGAGGAAGCTCTTCACATATTTCACATATTACATAATTGAATGTGTGTTTGCCTGTCCCACCGTACCTGTGATGGACACACACTGGGTGTCGGTGTTGCTGCTGTGAATCTGTGTGTGCAGGACAGTCTGAGCTTTGATGCAGTACACCGCTCCCTCCTGCAGGGCGTTGAAGTGCAGCATCTTCTGCTCAGCCGACATCGTATACACAGCAGTCTGAAAGATAGAGAGAACACAGGTGTAACGAGTCTGTTTTTATGAGACCAGAAAATGAAATTAATACTGCAAAAAATGTGCTACAAATCGTTGTTTCATTTAAGATAGATGCTAGGAAAAACAAGTTTAAATGAGAAATAAATAAAAGGGAAGACAGCAGAGCATTAAGAAAAGGGGGAAATGTGCGGATAAAATAGATCTGGAGAAGAAACAAACCAAAGGGATGAAACAAAAAAGAGAAAAATAGAATAACAGTCATTGAGGACAAGGTAATGAAAGGAAAGCAGGAAATAGAAGCTCAAAAGTAGAAATAGAGAAATGGAACAAAGTGAACTCTGACCTGCTGCTCGTTGCCTCTCTTCCACATCGTCACACTGACGACAGCAGTGAGAGGAAGCTTCTCAAACGACACCTGGAGGGCGTCGCCCATCGCCGTCACCACCATCTCCGGCGCCATCAGGACCGCTGCCGGCACGAGATTCACACTCAGTCATTCATTCATTTTTTTAAAAACCTAAACATGTCGCACTAGAGAGAGATTTGTATGACACCATGCTGTGTTTCTGCAGGTTTGAAGACCTGCTCCTGTTAGGATCTTACTGTCTCTGCGGTTGAAAGGTGGGCTGAGTTGGGTCCAGGGCGACAGCTGGGACCCGCACTGTGCTCGGACGTGGAGGTTGTAGTCGGAGTCGGAGCCCAGGTCGTAGGTCAGGTCACAGTGAGTGTGAGGAGTCTGCTGGCACTCAGGAGCATCAACCCAGCTGCCGTTCAGCACCGTCAGCTCAAACTCCCTGAAGGACAAAGACAGATAGGACCGGTTCTGTTTGAGATTCTAGAAACCTTGGTGCCATCTAGCGACCCAGCCAAGTGGAACCGTAGTAATCAAGGATGCATAATCAACAGCGGGCGCTGCACAACGATCTGTAGAATATGACATGGCCACTTTGGTTCCCAAAGAAAACCTGATGTTTTTTGGATCCACCCGGGAACCAACTTCTCAGGTTCCAATTTGTTTTTGGTTGAAATGCTTAGAACGGTTAAAAACTCGGTGCTTGAGCCGCGGCATGAAAGTGGTTCCCTGAAGATGAAAAAGGCCTAACAGATCATGTTTTCCCACCAAATTAGCTCTGGTTGTGCTATGTAGGGATACAGACAATTTTTTGGGGCGCAAATGCTTTGAATGGTTCTAAACTGGAACCTTAATGGAACCGGTTCCCTAGGCAATTGGTTTGGAACTATCAGGTTTTCATTGGGAACCAATGTGGGCGTGTTATATTCTACAGGTCTTTGTGTATTATTCTCCCCCTCTGTTGATGATGCATCCTTAATTACAACGGTTCAGCTCAGAACTGGTGTAAATGGAAAATCTCAAATGGAACCGGTTCAAGAACCAGAGCTAATTTGGTGGAAGAACAGTATTTAGAGAGAAATGTTATTTCATATTTCTTTATCCTGAGTTCTTTTGTGTTATGCTCCATGAGAACAAATTTCTTTTTGAATCTGGTTGTATACCTGGAAGTAATTTAAAACGATTTTCACACACCAGTGTCTGGCCTCTGGCCAGAGTAAATAACCCAGACTCAGGTAACACACCCTGCATACCTCCACCACCACACGCTGCTGCCGTGCATGCCTCATGGACTCACAGAAGCTCTTGGTAGAATTGAAACTCTGTTTAGTGAAGTTTATTAAAAACGCCATCAAGTGTAAACATGAGTCACCATTTTTAGACCTGTCAACCTGTCAACAGACACAACATGCATTTCCAGTTATCACAGGTTTTACACCATCTGTCCAAAACTGATTATACACTGTGGTTAATCCAGTGAAAAACTGAACTGTTAGCTTCACTAGAGAAAAAGTGAGTGGATCACCAGAATCAGTAGGAATACTTGTGAGGGGACCCTGAATGGGAATCTATTGAATAGTTGTTGAACTAACTGACAGCTGACATACCTGAAGCAGAGCTGCCAGCAGAGATGAGAGTTCAACACTGAACTTCAAAACAGAGGGAGTGTTTTTAAGGCTTCAGAACAGCTGCAGGAATGTTTCTGACAGTTCATTAAAACTTCTGCTCTGTGATCGACAGTTGACATGATGCAATCTGACTGTAGAGAGTGAAAACTGGAGCAGCTGAGTGTTTGTGTGTCAGTGCAGAGAGCTGTCACACCTGCTGATTTTTACTAATGGGACAGGTGTGTCATTAATTTCTGTGTTATTAGTCGGACAATTGTTGTGTACCTTGTAATTCATGAATTATTCATATATATAAGTCTAAAGCCAGATCAGCAGTGATGTAAAATATAGTTTTTCTGACTTACCCCTGGAACTGAACAGAGTACCGGACTGCAGTGTTGCAGGGAGCCTGCAGTGGGCGCCACCTCAGTACGTGTCTCATGTCAACAGACTCCATGGAGACTCTGCTGGGAGGTGGCAGCGTCCAAACATCTGCTGACACACAATGAGTTAATATTTTAAATCTTATCTCACACATCAGCTGTTTATTGCTGTAAGAAGGTTCATTAAAATGAAATAAAAACACAAAATGTCGTTTTTCTTCAGTTTTTGTTTTTTGTTTTTAGACTTCGGCTGGTTGTAGGACCCTAACCCTGAACCCTAAATCCCTAGGCCAGCTGTTTACTCTGGTTTCCAGTCTTTATGCTAAGCTAAGCTAAACAGCTGCAGGCTATAAGTTCATATTTACTGTACAGACCTGAGAGTGGACTTAATCTGAACTGCTTGACACTAGAAGGTTTGACATCACATCTGCTGAAACTGGAAAGTTTCTCTGAGTTTATTGAACATCTGATTTTAAGGGGCAGGACCTACGAGCATGATTTGTGCCATCACAAATAGTTTGGAGGTCAGTCCTGGTCCAGTATGCAACTTCTACAGTGAGATCCACCAGTACACAGATACTGAGGATGGACTTTACTGTGAAGGAGGAGAAATCTTGTGTCGAGCAGGAAAGCTTATATAGATATATAGTGGTATTTTTCATGAGGTAGGAGCCTTGTTAAAATGAGTCTTATTATTTGTCTAAAAGGAACAATAATGTTTTCAAGCAGGTTTTCATTAGAAAAGTAATCTGAGTAAATATATCAAACTTTATCTTAATAAGATATTACAGCTCATATTGAGCTCGATTTAACCAGTAACAACAATGGTTTGCATAATATCCCAGCAGAGGAACAAGATTTTTGTCCTTTTTTTAAGAGTAAGAGCACTCTCCTCTCAGGAGTGAAAGTGAACTCACAGTTTGTGAAGTCCAGCAGGATCATTATCGTCAGCAGCAGCAGACTCACACTGTGTCTCAGTCTCATGACCAGAGTGTTCGTCTCCAGAACGAGAGGAGGGACAAATCCGGTCACGTTAGGTCCACCATATCCAAATCCCACCAGTGGCCTTCATGTAAACTGATCCAGAATACGACATATAATCCAGAGTACTGTACAGAAATCCCTCAGAGGAAACCTGGATACTTTTTTTTATTTTAAGCAGTGCTCATTTCTGGATCCGCTTATCCAAGAAGTTAATAAAAGCCTTAAATCCACAGCAAAGATGATAATATATCCCAGTTACTCCTTAAAATTTAAGATCCAAATGAGTGTGAGTGTCGCTGCGATATGTCCTGGATGTGCAGACAGAAGCTGGTGTGTCCTGATGCTGCAATGAATCTGGGCCGCAGAACCGGTCTGACTTGTTGTCACCTCCCTCAGGGCGTCAGCTGTCAGCTGTAATTTACTGGCTTAATTCATAACACACCTGATGAGCTCTGTAGATAGCGTAGGGCCTAAAGATCTGCTGGTATGTGCAGCTGATTCCTCACAGCCTACTGGAGCTCTGCTGTGTTCTGGTTTACTCTCTTTGTTTTGCAAAAAAAAAAAGCAGCTCTCCAAAAACAAAGGGATCACTGTTCTTGACTCCTTTTGATTATATTACCATTAGGCAGCCATCCAACACTGACCCAAAACAACCACAGGAAGACATCTTTAAAACAACCACATGCATGGGATTTATTAACATAAAGAAACTCAAACAACCAAGACATCAAATCAAAACAATCAAAAGACACAAAGCAACACAAAATCCCACAATGAAAGGCAGAAACAGCAGCAGTCCCCACACCAAAAGTTCCTGATGATGCTGGCTCAGTGCTTTTAAGTGCCTCAATCACACATCAGGTGCACTCCATTTAGCTATCAGCACACCTGGGCAGAGCCAGAGGGAATAGAAGAGGAAAAGGGACAAACAGTATATTTGGTATGTGGTGGAGAGAGAGTCACTCAAAGCCCTCATCACTACACGGGGTCTTTCTCAATCTGCATTCATCCACCTGTGTCCTTGTAAAACGTCATCAGTTGCAGCTCAAGTACTGTCCCAATACACAAGTTTGCATTTCACTGAGAACAGTTAAATGTGTAAAAATGTTCTGGACAAGCCCATTTTACCCAGGATGCATCAGTTGGTAGCTTGTATTAACTTGCCAGCACAGATATCCCAGCATTCATTTCGCCATTCAAGCTCAGAGCTGAAACTGCAACATAAAGTATTTTACAATCGTATATTATTCCAACACTGAAATTACATCTGAGAACATTTTAGTGGAGAAACCAACTGTATAGCAGTTTTATGAGAATTGATGGCGAAATGAAAATGTGCTTTCGTTTTGGGAGTTGAGAAGCTCCATTGACCCGTCACCCCTCCAGAGTAATACAGACCACTGCAGCCAACACAGCAACAAAGGCAGCAGCAAAACCAGTCCTCAATAAAGATATTGTTAACATTCATACCACTGTTCTCCAGTCATTACACTGAGGAATGTGTAAGATATAATGTGTGATATAAGGGGAGGAAAACAGGGCGCTTACTGAATGGCGAGCCGTTAATGAGACTCACTGGTCGGAGGAATTCCTCCAAAAATGAATAAGTGAGTAACGTTGGTAGTGGTCAACTACTGGCTGACAGTTCTGAGGTAGAGACAATGCAGAAGGTTAGGGAAGTTAGCATAAAGGCAGTGTGTATGGCAGAAGTTCTACTAAGTTGAAGTTGTCCTCTTAAAAACATGAAAATAAACAACAGAAGCAGTATAAAAGGGGACTGCTGTTTCTTTGTTATAATGAATATAAATAGATTGTACAGTTGCAGTAATCAGCTGAGATTAAGCCTTGTCTCTGTGCTGCAGGTCGTCTCAAACCATCAGCAGCGTTCTCTGTGCTCCTGAACTTGTGAGTTCTCGCAGGATTATTCTTCACAAGAACCACAAGTCTATCCTTGTATTTCTGTAAAGGCCACAGCTGTTCTCCGAGGATGCAGCGGTCACTGCTCCACTCACAGCGGTTTCCTCCCAAACTCCTGAAGTTCAGTAACATACTTTTTCTTCACTGGACTTAAACAGAGAAGCTGTGCGTCATGTAGCCGTGCCAGCACCCATGAAACTAAAGTATAATTGATTCTTAAGGAGTTGCGTTCTGCAACTACAACACTAGATGCCACTAAATCTTACACACTGGACCTTTAAAAAGAAGAACGAGAAATAAAGAAAAGCAAAACATAAATGAATACTGTCATAAAATACAGATATTTGTGGACACATTTGAATAAAAAACACTAGTTTATTATCATGTTAAAACTTTTTATTACTTTTGAAAGTTGAGCTGCTGTTAAACAAGGTTAATTTTGTCCTTTAACTGTAAAAGCATTTGCTCTTTATTTTGTTGTTATAAATTGTTCAGAAAACAACAAAATGATTTGGATGTTTTTTCTTTTTGTTCTTTCTGAGAGTGAAGGTCCAGTCTGATCATGTTTCTTTCAAGAGAGGAGAGGAAGAGTGTGAAGTGTCGGACTTTGGACTCTGACGACCATCAAACATTAACTGTCACCGACCATAAAGTCATAAAACACACAACAACTCACACAACCTGAAACCATCAGACACACAACACATCTGCCACAGCAAACATCATCTAATACTGTATGAGGGTTTTATCCTCTTTTACTCAGTGCAGACAAAGAATAAGGTTACCCCACAAAAAAGACAAACAACAGCCACAAAAACAATACAAATTTAAAAAGACAAAATAAGGTTAGTAGGAACCTTCAGTGATTCAGTAACAGTACATTTAGAGAAGTTAAACCCACATATACAAGTTCTTAGAGCTCTGTATGTACTGTATGTAAGGTCCCACTCTTCACTTGAGCAAAATTCATATTATGTTGTGCTACTTTCTAATGGTTAGTTATTATATTATTTATATTGACTTCACAGATCGATTGAGCTTCAAATATAAATATGTTATATTTACAGAATAATTGTATTAATTATCTGTGGACATTTTGGCTGTAGCCAATTCTTCAAATTCAATTCAAATGCAACCTCATTACAGAATCTACATACTGATGATTGTTCAACCTGTAAAGTTGCAATGATTTGATCAAATATCTTTAATTTAATGATTCTGAATTGAAATTGAAAAATGCATTGTATTTTATCCTTTTACTCACTTTGACTCATTTCTTCTTAAAATATGTTCATGCAAGTTCAAGCAGGTATAAGTTTTCCATTGAAGCCTAAAAAAATGAACGTAATATATTTTACAGGAAGTCATATTCAGTCAATATTTTTTGTTAAATAGGTTAAATTTGATTCGTTGATAACAACAGTTTCTTCTGGTCGTCTGTACTGATGATGTCATTATTGTTCTCCTCCGACAGCAGAACTTGTACTTCCTAATTTAGACATGAAAATGTTTATTGTCCTTTGACTTCCTGCTGTACAGTCGCACTTCTTCTTTCCTCAGTGTCCATAAGCAGTGAGCTGGTCCACTAGGAAATATGAGAAAGGAGAATCGACTGAGAAAAGAGAGGCAGTGACTCTGAGGTTTTAGTTCCCTCTGACTCAGATTATTGAATGTGGAGCAACAGAATAAAGGAAATGCTGAAACTGAGGTTGAGCAGTTCACTGCAATAAATGTTTATCTCAGTTTCACAGCAATAACAATATCTGCAGCTGCTTATTTCACTTTCTATTCTCCGATCAAATCCATTTGAATCTTTTCATCTCTAATTTATTTGATAATTTACAAAAAGATTACAAAAAAGTTAAATATCACATTCTCAAATCATTTTCAAAGGTTTTGTTTTGTCCACAACTCAACTACTGTCTTAGAGGACTAAATAAACCAGGGTTGGGTTAGATAATCACATATGAGAAGCTGAAATCAGAGAATTTGGACATTTTTTCTTAAAAAATGACTTTAATTGATGCTCAAAATTGTTGGCAATTAATTTGATGGTTAAAAAACGAATCCATTAATTGATTAATTATTGCGGCTGTAAATGTGTTCTACTTATGGAACAATGAATATGAATGGGATGTAAAGGAATGTTTTCTGAGTAATCATTAATCAAAATGTATTTATAGCAAATGATTTGCTCCAAAAAATAGTTTAAATTAAGAATGGTTTATCATTCAATAAAGACAACTACCTTTATAAAATAAAAAAAATAAGTGGTTTGCTCAACCTACAGACAATAGTTAACACCAACTAAAAAATACAGGTTTCACTGAATAAATTATTTATATTCAGTCAATGTCAAATATTTTGTGTGATCGATTACTTTAGGTTAACCAATGTTTTACTTTTTTTGTGAATTCTATGGAAGTCATATCCACAAAATACATTTGCAAATAAGCATAACTTCCTCTACACGTATTTGAATTTCATATAAAAATGTTGTAGGTTTTACAAATAGTTTCACCACAAATATGTACATGTTTTGCATCTTCAAACCCAGAAAAATATGTGATTTTATTCGGGTTTATTCTTTGTGCCTGTGTCAGTGTTGTGGTTGTCTGTCAGAAGCTGTCA